AATGTGTCAGCACTAACTGTTTGGTCTGGTATTTCGCATGCATTGATCGGGGACCCCAATCGTCCTCTTGTCTAGATCTGGGCTCCTTGATAGCAACCCAGCGTACAACCATGAACCGCCGTCGGGTGAGGCTACTAGCTAGGTCACCTTAACTGCTACGTACAACAGGGGAGATAAGCGAAATGAAGCTTTTGTTGACGCCTGTCCTCTATCTTTCACGCGTTCTTTCCTCGATCCTTACCCTTTGGCATGGTTGTTAAGGACTGGTTAATCCGACGTCCATGGATTGCTGTTGGCTACAATATCTCTACAGATGATTCGGTGGCCACATCGGTTGTCACTTCGAAATCATCCCTCAAACTCCTACCCTGAGTTCATCTAACAGCCTTTAAGGTTCACACTCTGAAACAAACCGAGCAACAGGTTGCCCTTGAATGTGCATTGGACTCGCTTTCTACTGGGGTGTGCTATCTCTCCGAAACGAAGATCCAGGGCCCATGTACGGCTTTTGAGTTGACATCATCGACTCCGGCACATCGTTTTCGGTTACACACCTGTGTCATGATCCAGAAGCTGCTACCACTTGTTCCGTTAGGGTCGGCATCGATCTAAGCCACCTGCCCGGAAAGGTTGAGAGTAAATTCGATGAAATATCAAACTTCAGGTGAAAAAGAGCATCTTTGTAGATTGAGAGGCTTGATGACTTCGGAACGCCGAGGAGATGAATGGGGAAAGGAACTCTAATAATGCGTGTAAACTAATCCGGCTCTTGGTGGGCGGAACAATCGCCGGTAATAATTGCTCACCTATCTCTTGAAATGGGGTAGATATGAATCATTGTGTTGAACCTTTTTCGACTAAAATTCAGCAGCGGTTTCTCAGCCTGATTCCTGACCTGATGCACCTTCGGACAGTGAGCAACAAGATGCCGGAGGTTTCGGAATTGGGTGGATGTTTTTTTGTTCCCGAAGTGTTGTCGAGCTTCTGGTTCTGGTGAACTTTCACTCGCTCTGTCTAAGCTCGTCTGATCTATTTGCCTCTATCTGGGCAAAAGCCCGTCTCACCCAACTTGAGTGAGTCGGTACAAGTGCCCATTTCAAAAAGTGTGCTAGAATCGCCTGTAAGGACCACAGAAAAATCCACTTGACCCTCATTGTAACCAGACTTTGTGTCGCTTACTCTACGTCGTCTTACGAAGGTGCGTGGAAACAGCATCTGAAGACTGCTAGTAGGATTCCGGCCGGAGACAGTTTCTGTGGGCTACATCTTCACATCTATTCCAGTGTTTGAGCAACGACGTACGTATTGGGGCCCTACAACCTTGGAGTTCCTTTTTGGTGAAGCAGATGGTACTCCAGTCAGAACACATCCAACAATGCACGCTGAGATAGCTGGGTCGCGTGTTACCATGCCTGGATGGGTGCTGTCTTTCGTACCAAATTTGGATTGGTGGGGACCAAGAGGTGGACAGAACTTGTCGTGGCCGATGGAAGTGAATGATGTTACGGAGATTTTGGGTGCTGCTGGTGCCGATCGCCTTCCAGAGTGGGATCCAAGTGACCCTGTTTCTGGCTGGAGACACAGCGATGTGGTTTCTAACCGATTTCAGTGGCATTTCATCATCATCGACAGCATGACATCAGTGTTCAACATCGATGCTTCATTGCCGTACAACCATGATTTATTTGAAAGCCTTATTGTAAAGAAAAGAGTAAAGGTGAATGGGGAAGGGACTTAGTGCTAGCTTACCACAATCATTCCGAGGTGTCTACACTTCCAGGCATTCACTCGGGCAA